GCATCTTAGATGGCTACTTGCAAGCTTTTAAAACCTGGGACGCCACTCACCAAAGTGGTATGCTTGATAAAGATTTTTGATGAACATAAGTATTTAATTTTTATGAGGTCCCAGTTTATCTATTTAGTACTCTGTTGCTCCTGCATTTATTGTTGGATTTGATAATCTATCACTGAAATAACTTATGTCCCAAAGCTTTGCTCCTATATTTTCTTCCAAGAACTTCATGGTTTTACCTTTAACATTTAGTTCCTGGATCCATTTTGAATTAGTTTTTGTGTATAGTGTGAAGTATGGATCTTGTTTCATTTTTCTGCATGTGGAAATCCAGTTTTGCCAGCACCATTTGTTGAAGAGTCATGTTTATCTTCCTGGAAATGAGGGGATGCATTAAATGATTTCTCAGGTTCCCTCCAGCAGTAACCCTGTGCTCTCTGAGAACAGACCTCCTAAGCGGAGCCAAGTAGTTCCTACACAGTCAGGTGTTGGTAAGAATTAAATGAGTTAATATGTATAAAGTGCTTAGAACAGAGTATGGGTACATGGTAAGTGCTGAATTTAAGCACAAGCTGTGATTAGTACCATCAATACCCACAATGTTGATTTTAATCTTTCACTCTGAGAGAATCGGAACCAAATTCCTCAGGCTAGTGATACTATAAACTGGGCCCCTGCAACTCCACAGCCTTACCTATCAGGGTCAAAATATGGAGGAATGACATCCCCGGGAACCATCACAGCCTCTCTGGGAGGTGGGGTGAGATCAGTGGCATCACTAGGGGGGTGCAGGAGGTATGGACTGCACCAGGTAATGCTGTCAGAAGGAGTGACACCAAAATGACTGTCTATTAAATTTTTTTTTCTGTGTCATTTTCTTTTTTAAATTTTTTTATTGTACTTTATATGAAGATTTAAAGAACATACAGTTTCTCATTAAACAGTTAGTACACATATTGTTTTATGACATTGGTTAACAACCCCAAGACATGTCAACACTCTCCCTTCTCGACTTTGGGTTCCCTATTACCAGCTTCCTGTCCCCTCCTGCCTTCCAGTCCTTGTCCCTGGGCTGTTGTGCACCATTAGTCTCGTTTTGGGGCTGTCTAATCTTTGGCTGAAGGGTGAACCTCGGGAGTGACTTCATTACTGAGCTAAAAGGGTGTCATACTCTCAGGATTTCTTCAGTCTCTGTCAGGCTGTCTATAAAATTTTTGTGTAGTGATTCAGCAGAAATTTATTCCTTTTGACTACTAAAATATACCTATACTTAGTTATAACCACAAAAACATTTTTCATAAGCCCAGCTTAAATGTATTAATATACCTACAAGGCTAAAACTCTATGCTAATTTACTTCTTAAACCTTCTAATGTGCTCCAGTCAGAGCTGTCATAATCACCCAATTACAATAATGCTTCAAATCACGTGGTTCCAACAAGCTGTTGTTTTCATTGCTGCCAGGGTTGTTACAGTCGCTGATTTTGTCAAATTTTTTAGTGTGTTAGCTACAATATTGTGGTAATTAGTATTTGTGAACCTACATAAACAACTTTTTTGAGAATGAGGTATTAATTAAAGGAACAGAAGGGGAAAAATAAAAAGGCTTCCTATTAGTTACTAATAATTTAACTAATAACGTAAAAAGATTTTACAAAACAATTTTGTTGTGAGTATTCATATAATCAAAGAAATATAACATTTAAGTAATTCATGTAGTACAGAACACTAGAAAGGAAAAAGCCACACAGAGAGGTTCTGGAGATTTGCAGGGTGACTCTCTACTCTGTGCCTGAGAACCAATCTTTGCCTGCAGGAGAGGAAATTGCCACAGGCTGAGAAGAGAACCACAGGAAACACCTAGGCTGAATAATTATCGAGGCTCATTTAGGGCTGAGAATTGTTTATGAGATAGCCATCAGCCTTTGAATGATGAAACTGATCTTCCACTTTTTTTTTTTTTTAACTGCATACCAGAACAACACTCAATACTCTTTAAAGGAGCACCAAAAGATCCAGTAAAATCACAATGTCTATCATCCAATAAAGAAATTGTGAGGCATGAAAGAAACAAGAAAATATCACCCAAAACCAGGGAAAAAAAATCAACAGAAACAACCCAGAAAATTCCAGTGACAATGGAATTGATGGACATGGAAGGAAAACAGCTATTACTCATATAAATATGCTCCAGATGTAAAAGGAAATATGAACATGATCGGGAGAGAGATGGAAGATATTAAAATGATCCAAAGGAAACTTCTAGAGATTTGAAGAAACATAATATCTAAGATGAAAAACAGATGGTATAGGATTAAAACAGATTTGATACTGCAGAAGACCAACTAATTGGAAGAGAGCGCAATAGAAACTAACCAAAATGAAACACAAGACAGAAAACTACTGAAAAAAAATTAGCAAATCTTCAGAGCGTTCTGGGACAATACCAAGCATTCTAACATAAATATAATTGGAGCTCTGTGAAGGCATAGAGAACAGACAAAATATTTGAATAATGATCAAACATTTAGACCCAAAGATGTTCACTCTTCAAACTGTAACCTGTGCAAGGTGCTCACCGTAAAGACACTGAAATAATTTTTAGACACATTTTTTAGATACCATCACTGTCATCACTTAATTTTTTAGGTTCCCCTATATTCCTCCTTGACTCCCTCTGCCATACTCTCCATTCTGTTCTCCAGAAGCAACTTTCCTCAACCTCAGGGTGCCATTGTCAAGGTGCCAATACAAGCAGGTGGCAGCTCCTTCTAGGATGGAGAACAATGTGCCCTGTGGCCATCCCAGCACCAGAGTGACAGACACCAACTCTGATGATGTGGTTTGCCCTCCCACGCAACCTCACACATCTGCCAACACAGCTCACAACTCTTTACAAAAGGCCACTGAATACTTTCATCTTCTCAAATTTTACAATGGAGACACAGCGCCATCTTCAGGGTCACAGAGCTAGAAAGAAACATCAAGGTCCAGCTGTCTCCAGCCTCCAATATCAAGATTCTATTACAGTCCAAATGTCTGTGCTTCTGAGCCTTCAGAAGTTCACAATTCCTACTTCGATACAGAGGGAACTGGGAGTAAGGACCTAGCACAGAAATTAGATCATACCTCTACTTACAAGAATCTCAGCTCAGAAAATGAACTTAGCACTGACATCACCCTTTAACAGCCTGAGCAAATAGACATTATCTCCACTGTACAGGCATGGCCGGGTGGTAGTATTGCCCCACGTGACAAAGTTTTCAAGTGCAGAACCTGGATTCAAGCCTCCCCTACCACCCGCCCCTAACTCCTCTGTTGCTCAATCCGAGAACTCTTGGCTCATCTGCTTCCAATTTCAAGAAACTCAGAGGTCCTTGAAAATCTCTAATAGCACCAAGGAATCAAAAACAGAACATTGTGGAGTTCCATTTCTTACTTCTTAGACTAACAAAGAATTAAAACTCAGTGTAGCAAGAGTGAAGGGAAAGAGGCACACTTGAGTACTCTTGGTAAGTATAAAATTGATACAACCTTCTTTGGGAGGACAATTTGGCAACATCTAAACAAAATACTAAAATTTAAACCACTGAACAGCAATTAATAGACATAGATATATGGATACATAATATAGACAAGGATATTTACTACAATGCTGTTGGAATCAGAAGAGACAAAACTGGAATTAAAAATAGCTATCAATAGGAGGAGATGGTAAAATAAACTGTGGTTTGCTGGTATATGCTTCACTCATGCAATAAATACTACTCTGAAGTTAAAGAGAATAAGATAAATCTGAATGTACTGACACAAAACATCTAATGATACATATATATATATGCTTCAGAACTTTAAAAAAGTAATTGTGCCTGTCAATGAATAGAAAAGGGCAAGACTTATGGGAGGATAAGATGGGGTTTGCTATGAAAGAAGGCCTGGGCCTCACATTCCCAAAACCATCGTTGACACAGGTCATCCTCACATTCACTCTGGAGGCACACAGGTCACTAAATTGAGTGACTCATCAAGCAGCGTTAAACATGGTTCCCATTTTATACGTTATTTTCGATATAAATTCTCTATTATTTTGCGACTACGAAACCTTTATTTCTGAATTTAGTGTTAATTTGCTAAATGAAAACATTTAAAATGCCACGATTTCCGAAACCTTGTTTTGGCATTTAATTTTTTTTTTTTTTAACATAAAAGAAACGTAAAAAGCGCGGTTGGCAGCAGCCTCAATCCACCTGGAAAAGAACTGAAATATATGGATTCCTTCTCCCCGTCATCTCTCCCCACAAAATTTCGTCAGGATGGGCGCGACTACAGGTTTCTCCTCTTAGACCTCTGTCAAAACAAGAGCATCACATCCCTCTCCTGCATCTAGGGGTCGAGCCCCGGAATCCTGGCTGCGCCATTGTAAACAACGGTTTATACACGTCCTGTGCAAGAAAATGGCTGGGGGAACTTGGCAAACTGCTCACAGTGGCCATCTCTTCACTGGGGCGGAAATGAAGGTGTAGAAGAGAGAGGAGGGAAAATTACTTTTCACTGCCTATGTTTTTCACCATTTTACAGTGAGTACGTTTTGAAATTTATAACATTTGTATAAAAAAGGAAAGTAAGAAAAGAGGAGGAATAAAAAGAGACTGTTTCGCTTCCCAGCAGGGAATGCGGTCCCTCCGCTGCTTGCGCAGGACAACTCTACCCAACTCTCTCCAAGGGTTTTGAAATTCACTCCTGGGGTGGCTCAACACGATGAGCTCGGCAGAGGAGCGGGTAGGTGGCGGCCCGCTCTTCTCCCTCTCGGTCTGGGTTGGTCAGTCTGGCCCGGGACACCACTCTGCCCGACTCCGCCGACAGAGTCGTCCTGCCGGAGCAAGTCCCGGCCTCAGGAGAGTCAGGCGAGCCCCCGCCAGCCCGCGGGGAACCCCACTCTCCCTACCGGACCTCGGCACACCTGGCTCACCTCTCCGGAGCCAGAAATCGTAGCGGGTAACTTACCAGCAGCAGCATACTTAAGGCAACGAAGACATGGCTCTTGGCTTTTCGGAGCGCATAGCCGGAGCTCTGGAGTTGAAGCCTGGCTCCCCACGACCGCCTCGTTCCCGGGGGGCACCCTACCCTGATCCCCGCCCCGCGGGCGGCAGATGCGCTCGCTCCCCGCTTCGACATGACTTTAGTAAGCACTCGGTGTCCCGGCTCGCCAAGCAGTTTTAAGTCCTACAAAATCAGTCACGATCCAATCCGTGTATGTCTCAGGTGCGGAGACGAGCGTTGCACGGGGACCCTGAGCTACCTACTGTAGACACGCGCCGCTCTCCTGTGGAAGCGAATGGCGCCAGCGCGGGCGGTATTAATCCCTCAAATCTGGGCGGAGTTGCGCACCCCGTGACTAAATTCAGGAAACCTGCGGTCATGAGGGCACCAGTGGGTTGGCACTATTCGCAGAAACCAACACAGGTAGTGACGTTTTCCAAGCACACAGTACATACGCATAGAATATGCATAAAAGAATGGATTCACACTTTTCAAACTTGTTCTGCAAGCCCTTGCTTTATTCACTTATTACATGTTGAATATCTTCCCATATTTGTCTTTGAAAAACTGTTCTTGATGCGTGCCATCAATTCGATTCTGACTCCTAGGAACCTTATAGGAAGAGTAGAACTGCCCCATAGGGTTTTCTAGTAGAATTTCCCCGTGGGGTTTCCTAGGCTGTAATCTTTGTGGGAGCTGATTGCCTAATTTTTTATCCCTGAACCGCTAGTGGATTCGAACTACGAACTTTGGGTTAGTAGTCAAGCTCTTAGCCATTGCGCCACCAGGGTTGCTTCTGTAAATCTACCTTGCTCTTAAGAGCCGCACAGAATTCCCTCAACGCTGGGCGGAGCTGAGAACTACCACGTACACCGTGTCAAGACTGTAGTGAGAAGTTGGGTGCAGAGGACAGTGAGGGAGAGCTGGGCTCAAATTGGCTGGAAGGCTTGTGGAGTGAGACGCCCTCTACTGCCCCTCCGTTGCTGATGGCAGAGGTGGCCCATGGGACCTTTTCCTGTCTGTGGAAAGTGCACAGGACACCTGCTTCAGGGAGAAGCTGCCAGGCAGGAACTTCACCAAGGGCAGAGAGTGTCTCCTTCAGTCTGGAAAGCTCAGATGTGGGGCTTGAAGGAGCACAGCGTGAGCTGAGCTCCTTGAAATATACGGTCCAGACCATTGTTCAGTCAGAGAGGATGCGGTGTTCTAAATTATTGCACGATCTCAGAATAATTGTAACTTAAACTCTGTTATAATTCTAGGAAAATTCCCTGGGTGGCACAAATGGCTAAGCACTTGAATACTAATGGAAAGCTTGGTGGTTCAAAGCCACGTAGAGGTGAACTGGAACGCAGGCCTGGCCATCTGTTTTCTATAGGTCACAGCCTTGAAAACCCTAGGGAGCAGATCTACCCTGCATACATGGAGTCTGCCATGAGTCCTAATCCACTCAATGGCAAGTAATAATGACAGCATATGGACTGATAAATTTACCTTTTCTCTGTAATTTCATACAACTAAAGTTCTATCGGATAAAACGTTTGGAGCATGGTACAGTTGTTTGTTGTTTTTTTGCAAACATAGTGGGATCTAGAAGAAAAAATGTGGCATGGCTCTGATTTATGTTGTTCAAACACATTATTTTATAGATGAATGAAGTCCAATTATATCTTTATGACTCTGAATGTCTTCCCATGGCTACAAGAACTACGTTTTGAAATCTGGGGTCACCACTCACATTGGGGCAATGCCATATTTCTTTTCACCAGATTCAAAGGCACATGTCCAAATCACCTTGGACTGCTCCATCTCCCTTATTTGTCAGAGCAAAGTAGTTACCAGATCCTCCATTGTCCACAATTTCTTTTATCTGTCACTATCTGGGTGAGGCCACTGATATCTGTGGACTGCTGCTGCCAGGGTTTCCATGGTGTTGTTCTCAAGCCCATGTCCCTCCTTCCACCTCCTGTTGGGCAGTACTGTAGGGTAACCTACTCCAGGGAAAGGCACTTGGCAGGGGGCACTGGGAGGAAAAGGGAGCTCTGCCACTGGATGATTCAGTAGTGCTGGGCTTTCTATCCTACAGAGTTGGTGAGATTTGATAATATAGTGCATGTAAAAATACTTTGTTAATAAAACCTGTATTGAAAGCCAGATATAGTATCATTATCAACACATTTCACATTCAGTGATGCAAAATAAATACAACAGATGAAAGATCCCTTATTATAAAATCCTTCTCCTTTGAAAGCAAAAGTGCAATCAGTTAGTGAGCCTAGGATCAGAAACAGGACTGTTGATTGCTGGGCCGTGTTTCTGAGCCAGTGCTGCCCAAACACCAAATGGACTGGCCTGGGTGCCCTGTGTGCTGAGCTTGCAGGACTGGGTTCAACATACATGACACCTACTATGGGACCAAGCATGTGCTGGTGCTTAGTGAAGACAGACCCATCTCCTGTCCTCACTGGACTACTGGGAATGATAGGTGTGAAACAAAGTTAAAAACAAATTTGAGAGAAGTGCCTTGAAGGAGGCATGGCAGCCCAACCCCCTCTTCCATCTCTCTTGACTCCTCCAGCCCTCCTGGATTTAACATTTAATTATCCTTAACTCCAGGCCACTCCTCCAGTTGTTCCAATGAGTCATATTGTTCTTGATTAGAAAAGGAAGAGGAGAAAGAAAAAAAAAAAAAAAAAAAAACCAGAGAGAGACCCACTGCCCAGTTTCCTTCCTGTGCATTGAGTATTTCTAATTCTCTGCACAAGGAGAATTTTTGGCTTGTAGATTATCTCCAGGATTTATGCTATACTTTCTTTTTAGCCTCTTTAAATAAGTGAAAACATCATCAGGTGCTTTGCACTAAAGCCAAACTTGCTGAAACAATGAGACTATTTCCTGTAAATGCCTTAGCACCCTGAGTCTCTGCAGACCTCATCTCTCCACTGTCTCCCCCTCCCCCTTGAAGTCATGTACTGAGTGTGTGTCTAGCACTATGAGTCAGAATGGACTCCATGTGAATGGATTTGAGGTTTTTTGTTTTTTAGCACATAGTAACATTGACTTTGTTATCCCGTTATTGTTTTATTGTGCTATAGATGAAGATTTACAGAGCAAATTAGTTTCTCATTAAGCAGTTAATACGCATATTGTTTTGCAACGTGGTTGCCAACCTCACAACACGTCCACACTCTCCTCTTGTCGGCTTTGGGTTCCCCATTACCAGCTTTGCTGTCCCCGCCGGCCTTCTCATCTTTGCCGCTAGTCTAGTGTGCCCATTTAGTCTCATTTCGTTTTATGGGCCTGTCTAATCTTTGGCAGAAGGGTGAACCTCAGAAATGACTTCAGTACGGAGCTAAAAGGGTGTCCAGGGGCCATACTCTTGGGGTTTCTCCAGTCTCTGTCAGGCCAGTAAGTCTGGGCTTTTTTTGTGAGTTAGAATTGTGTTCTACATTTTTCTCCAGCTCTGTCCGGGACCCTCTGTTGTGATCCCTGTCAGAGCAGTCAGTGGTGGACTCAGTCTGATGGAGCCTGTGGTAGTTGTGGTCCATTAGTCCTTTGAACTAATCTTTCCCTTGTGTCTTTAGTTTTCTTCGTTTTCTCTTGCTCCAGACGGAGTGGGATCAGTGGAGTACCTCAGATGGCCTCTCCCATTTTATCCTGTTATTGCTGAATAACACCCAATGCAGTAAATTTCAGTAGGAAGCTGCTACTTCCGGAAGCTGTCAGGAATTCCCCTTTCAGAACTGTGTGTCTCCTGAGCTGAAGAAATTTATACTCCTCTTCTAGATAGCACTTGCTTTTAAGTATTTGTATGTGTTATGAGAGATATTTACATTGAAGCAAATTTTCTCAGGATTAAAGAGGCTTTCTTTTTTTTTTTTTTTTTTACTAGATATGCTTTATGCTTTTTTTTTTTTAATTGTACTTCAGGTGAAGGTTTACAGAACCAACAGTTTCTCATTAAACAGTAGTACACAGATTGTTTTATGACATTGGTTAGCAACCCCACGACATGTCAGCCCTCTCCCTTCTCGATCTTTTATTTTGGTGAAAATATACATAGCCAAAGATACACCATTTCAAAAATTTCTACATGCACAGTTCACTGACATCAACTACGCTCTTCCAGTTGTGCTGCTATTCTCAATTTAGATGAAGGTTTACAGAACAAAATCGTTTCTCATTAAACAGTTAGTACACGTGTTGCCCTATGACAATGGTTAACAACCCCACTACACATCAACACTGTCCTTACTCAACCTTGGGTTCCCCATCACGAGCTTTCCTGTCCCCTTCTGCTCTCCAGTCCTTGTCCCTGGACTGCTGTGCCTCATTAGTCCCATTTGGTTTTATGGGGCTGTCCAATCCCCGGCTGAACGGTGAACCTTGGAAGTGACTTCACCACTGAGCTAAAAGGGTGTCTTGGGGCCATGCTCTCAGGGTTTCTCCAGCCTCTTTTAGGCCAGTAAATTTGGTCTTTTTTTATGTGTGTTAGAATTTTGTAAAGAGGCTTTTTTTAAAAAAAAAAAAGGCAGAACACATTCTATTTTAAAAGATTATTTATTATCTATAATACAGTTAGACATGTTTGATGTAGAAGATTAAAAGGATACATATGTCCAAAACCCACTGATTATTCCGTTACCTACAGAAATCACTCTTGAAGTGTTAGCACATTTCATTAGGCATAAATAGATAAATGGAAAGACGGAAGGGAGGGAGGGAGGAGTGGATTGGGGGTGACTGGTTCTCAGTGAGATGTGCATATTATATTAGTTATCTATTCTTGCCCACAAATTACCTCAATTGTTGACAGCTAAAGTTACAAACATTTATAATCTATGTACGTGGGTTAGGAATTTAAGGGTGTCTTAGCTGAGGAGTTTGGCTTGGGGTGTCTCAAGAGGTTGCAGTCAAGATGTTGCCTGGGGCTGCAGTCATCTGTAGGATCAACTGGAGCTGAGGATCTGCTGTCAAGATGGCTCCATCACATGGCTACTGCAGATGCCTCAGTTCCTTGCCGGCTATTGGCAGGAGACCTCAGTTCCTTGGCACAGGGACTTCTCCATATGACTCTTGAGTGTCCTCATGACACGGCAGGTGGCTTCCCCCAGAGCATGTGATCCGAGAGAGAAAGGCTTTTATGATGTAGCCTTAGAAGTCACTCACTGTAACTTCTGCCATAGCCTACTCATTAGAGATGACACCAGTCCATGTACAGCTATACCTCTTAAAGGGAGAAGTATCAAAGAATCTGTGGACATGTTTTAAAATCACCACATGTATGTATTATTTAATAATCTGATTCTTTTCACTTACCATGTGTTGAACATTT